TACTCAAAAAGCCCTGAAGTTTAATAAAACACTTCTGATCATCTTTGGCTGAGGAGGGTGGGGCTGCTTATAGAACTGGAAGTGCAAAACTTTTTCAAGCAATAGCAGTGAGTGGGTCCCATTGACAAGGTTCCAGGACCTGGAACACTTAAACAGAAGTAAATGCAGAAGCAGCTTGTGTAGTTGCTTCACAAACTTCCACGAGGCTGATTCTGGCTTCAAGATGGAGCATTGGAGTTTTGTTTTTTTTCAGACCTGCATTTGCGCTTTGTGTTTTTGTTTTTATTTGGAGACCTCATGGGAAAGAGCTTCTGGACTTTTTCCTGTGTGAATTCCCACTGTGTTCCTGTAAGTCCCCTTTTCTTTCATAATGTTGTAAGTTACCTTTTCAATAAGCCCCATCACCTCTTCTTTACTGTAAAAAATATTAAAAGGCTGTTTCCACGTGGGACAGCTAATGAAGTTCTAATTATTGCAGACATATTTTTGAGATGTAAAAAGAATTTAAAATTAAATGATAAGTCTTAGAGGCGAGTGAGGAATAAAATGGATGTAAACATTTACATGGGATGCATTAGAATTCTGCTGTGTGTATTGTCTTTTGGTTGAACCAAATTATGAACAGTGACTAATAATAAAAAGTCAATACTCAATGATTTAAAATTTGCTTCCTTGCTTCTTATACGTGAACTAGAAGCCTTGGATGAATTCTTCTCAAGAGCTTTGAGCTAAACTTAATCTGTTAATGTTCCTTTTATACAGAAATATCACCGAGAGAGAAATCTGAACAGTTAGAAAACTTGTTGTAGACAATGAAAAAGTCATAAGAGCAATTGGACATTTTAACTGTATTGTGATTACTTCCATGCTTCTATTCTCTACATAGTGAATTTTGAAATAAGCCAAAGAAATCATATCAAGGTGAATTGTACATTAAGGGTTGTCATGCTTATGGGATTTCAGTTGTAAACTGCTTTTTGTGAATTGTTCCAGTATATCTTTGACCAGGAAGACGAAGGCTTGACCAGTCAAAATGAGTTATATTTCAACCTTTTTCTTTTTGGGGGGTAGGTTACTAGGGGTTGATCCCAAAGGTGCTTTACCACTAACCAAATCCCCAGCCCCTTTTATTTTGAGACAGGGTCTTGCTAAGTTGCTTAGGGCTTGCTAATTTGCTGAGACTGGCCTCACTTGGATCACCTCAGCTCCCAGAGTTGCTGGGATTATCGGTGTGTGCCATTGAGCCCATCCAATTTTTTTTTAAATATGAATTCCATTTCGGAGGTTGAAAGCTTTAGGTTTTCAATTACTCTCATGCCCTGAAAGTCCCTTAAATGAGAAAGGGGAGGATGTGACTGTTGCTTGATTGAAAAGGAGAAGGGTGTAGGCCTTAGCAGTTATCAGGTTAACACAGAAGTGCCCTTTGGCAGAATTTGATAAGTAACACTTCTATAATCTTGCCTTCTATATGACTTAATTAAAATTAATTTTTGTTTATAATGTTAAATTTACCTGAAACTGTCATCTACATATAATTAGATGAAAATATAAAAGCTACAGTAGAAAAGATTAGCCAATAAATAGACACCAGACATTTACTTAACAGTATAATGAAAGTGCTTATATTTCAACTTAAGTGCAGAAGGACCAAACTAATTTTAAGCACTATTAGGGTTTTTCATGCTATGATCTCACTCAGTTCAACTGTCCCCATATTTGGTGTTTTTCTGATTGAACAAGGCCTTGTGCATGCAAGACAAGTGCTTTATCACTGATGACATTCCCAATCCCCTACTATCTCCTTTAATATATATATATTTTTTTAACTTTGAGACAAGTTCTAACTAAGTTGCTGAGGCTGGCCTTGGACTTGTAATCTTCCTGCCTTAGTCTTCTGAGTTGCTCTTCTATCATCATATGTGAAAAGCAAAAATTTTCAATTTTTGGAAATCCAACTACACTGAGTAGTTGTAGTTCAGTGGTAGAGTGCTTGTCTAGGAGGCCCTGGGTTAGATCCCTAACAAATTAAAAAAAAAAAAAAAAGTATTCAAGGACAAATTTCTTTCAGACTTTGAAGCCAGGTAAATGTTGTCTGTTTATTTGGGGAACCAAAATAAAAAATGCGTAAATCTGCTTAATCAGTGGTAAGAAAAGAAAAACATGGATTTAGGCCTACATATGATTTTGTGATTATTGATGGACTGGGAACTAGTTTTAATTAATTATAGGTAAGACTTACTAAATAAGTAAGACATAATATATAACTTGTACAAAAATCTAATAGACATGAGCTTTCCTTCTCCAGGTTTCCCTCCTATTTTGTAGTGAAGATTGGGAAAACCTTCTGGCATAAAGAATGTGCATGCACTGGGGATGCAGGGAATGTGCATAGCTGCTATTGGGAGGATATGGAGAAGAGGATTTCTTATGACTTCTCTGTCTCTTGGCATGATCCAAACCGTGATTTTTGTAATGATGAACCTGCATTGACAGCATATGGGTTTTTGCACCCCCCCCCCAAAAAAAAACCCAGAGCAATTTATTTTTAGGGTTAGTCTCAGCTGCTTCCATTTCCAGAAATCAAAGTTACATAATGCTTGGCATACATAATGCACATTGCCTTAAATTGGAGGAGAGCATGAATGTGTGACCTTTGAAACAACATATGCAATGTTAATGACAGTACATGATTTAAAAAGAAAATAATCAGTGTCACTTCTAGATTGGACTTTTAATCATGGGGACCTTTAATCATGAATGATCCTCTGGGACTTTTGGTCTGGTGGCTTTCCCCTGTCTCCTCTTAAAAAGAGGTACTATCCCATTAATTAAAAAAGATAACCGTCTGCCAGTGCTGCTCCCCAGCATGCTTAAACTTTGGTCCTGGGACAAGATCTTTTCCTTTTCTTGTTAAATCAGTAAAGAGATCTGGAAAAGGTAATACCTCAAAGAAATAGACTTTTAGAAGTATTTGCTCTGAAAAAAAAATTTTTTTTTCCTTACTACTTGTCTACCGTTGGTCAAGTCTACTTCTGGCTCCAATTGGTGCTTGTCCCATGTACACCAGAGTTCCATTCTTTTGGTACTAGGGATTGAACCCAGGGGTACTTGACCATTAAGCTATATCCACAGTCCTTTTTTATTTTGAGTCGGGGCCTTCCTAAATTGCCGAGGCTGGCTTTGAGCTTTCAATCCTCCTACCTCAGCCCCCAGAGTTGCTGGGATTACAGGTATGTGCCACAGTGCTGGAACACCAGAGTTCTTGCTGGAAAAAATGATCTAATAAACACTGAAATGGAAATCCAACTATACTGAGTAGCTTTCTTTCTTTTTAAAATTGGTTCTGGGGATTGAAAAGCTGAAGCATATTCCCAGCCCTTTTTTATGTTTTATTTTGTGACTGGGTCTCACTAAGTTTCTTAGGGCCTTGTTGAATTGCTGAAGCTGGCCTTGAACTTGGGATCCTCCTGCCTCAGCCTCTGAGCTGCTGGGATTACAGGCATGAGCCACTCTGATTGGTTCTGACTAGCTTTCTTGAAAATAATTTCAAGGTAGAAGGAAAACCCAGGTGCCAATGTAAGAACTCTTTTTCCACCTTATACTAGACTTGGGGAGAGAGACAAAATCATTTTACTGCATTATGAAACCAATACATGATTGCTTGGAGATTGGAATTTTGATATATGCAAAGTAATTAAGGGAGAAAATATTGACTATACTTTTACAGAAGAAATAACTTGGGGTTAGAACTTTCAAGAATCAAATTTTGTCTTAGCATGTAAAATATCTCCAAATGCATAAATATATCTGCTGAGGACACTGGCTGCCCTGTTAGATCTCAAACTCTCTTAAAACATTCTAGGTTTAGATGAGGCAAGCTGAAGCAATGGATAATGAGATACAATCTTTACCAACTACTCAAAGGTCAAGAAATTCAGGTTTTTGCTGTTTAGTTTCTTACAAGTTGCTTACCTGTAAGAGGAAACCCTAAAAATCCAGAAGTCTAGAAGGCTCCCAGGGAAATTCAAGAGGGATTAATGAGAGTTCTTTTTGGAAAACTGAGTGAATCTTAAATTTGGAATTTCAGAATTGTAAAATTGAATTCATTCCTATTATATGTTAGGCACTTTGTATGCATTACTCAATCTTCATAACTGCTAGGCAGATATTAATCTGTTTCATAGTTTAAGAACCAAAAGCTTAGATCAAGCAATTCTAATAATGGATAGAGCTGAGACTTGGAATCAGGCTGACGACAAATTTGGCCCACTGAATACAAAACTACCATCACCCCAGGAACAACAACAATAAAAAATGTTAACTTTTGAAAGATTTTTCAGAATTAGCATTGCAAATAATAAAATGGCTCACAGACATTACTGCTTGAGGCCAAGAACAGAGTTCCGACAATTTTACTACATGAGAAAGGGGAATTGAAATATGGCTGGGAAGGTGAGTGACGTTTTGTACACGAGGTTGCGGAAGGTCGTGAGCACCTCCAGTTAAAGGAGAGAAATACTGCTAAGATGAGTATTTTTAACAGTTGGTTCAATGACTTTGAAAGTGGGGGTGGTAGGCCAGTTTTGGAGTAGAAAGAGGAAACATCTCTGAGAGGGAAGTTCCAAGAGCCACCTTCGCAGTAGGGCTGCATCCCGTCGCCAATTGACAGGTGCAAGCCCCACCTGCCCCTTCTTCGACCACTAGGAGGGCGGTTAGCAGCAAATCCCACTCCCTATGCCCTAGCCTCCAAATCCAGTGTGACTGGCAGCGGAGGCCCACTCTGCAGTGATACCAGGTTCCACCCGCCCAGTGCTCGGTCGGCCGCCCGCAGGTAGGGATGTAGCTCCGCGGCGCGGGGTCGCGCCGCGCCCGCAGCTACGCAAGTCCGGCGGAGATGCGGGGGGCGGGGCCCGGGGCGGGGCCGTCGGCGGCTCGCGCGCGCGGCCGAGGCTCGCGCGCCGTCGCGCGGGCCAGGCGTCCCAGTGCAGCCTCGTCCGCCGATGGGGGAGGTGGAGCCGGGGCCCGCGGGCCCGCTGGAGCCCCCGGAGCCGCCCGAAGCGCCCGCTAACCGCCGGCCGGGAGGGATCCGGGTTCTGAAGGTGAGGCGGCGGGCGACTGGGCGGACTAGGGAGGGAAGGAAGAGGGTCGAGGCCGCCCCCGCCCCGCCTTGTGCCGGAGGCAGCTGGCGACCCCCGCCCCGCGTCAGCCAGTCGGTTCCGCGGCTCGACAACCCCACACCTGGCGCGGGGCACCACTGTCCGGGGCGAGGCCTTCGCCTGGGGGCTCCCAGCAAAGGCCTCAGCCGCGTCGTCCCCACCGCTGCCCATCCCTGGCCGGGCGCCACCCGCCTGGCAGGCCCACGCCTTCGGGCCGCTCGCCGCCGCCGCCGCCGCCGCCGCCGCCGCCCACCGGCTCCTTCGCCTCCCCGCGCCCGCCTCTGCCTCCCCCGGCAGCTCCCGGATCCGGGGGCCGGCTGCTGGGGGCTTCGAAGGCGGGGCGCTCCTGGCTGGAGCGGGACTGCAAGTACGTAGGGTTCTCCCCGGACACCTGAAGACATCACCCCAGCGGGAGGATGGCGGCGGTGATTGGCCAGGCGCCGCGGTGTGCGCGGGCTGCGCCGGGTGGAGCGGCACACTCTGCCCTCGGGGCTTACTATCCAAGTTCCGACCCAGAGCCGGGCTCCGAGACGCGGCGGGGGAGGCGGCCCGCCCCGCCTGGAGGGAGAATCCCGGGAGGAGCTGCTTCCCGGGGACTCGCTGGGCGTGTTGCAGAAGGGAGGAGGGGCTGGGCCGAAAGGGGCATTCCTGCTTGTGGGAGCCGGGTTGACAGTCCGGGGAGACCGTAATGGGAAAGCGGTTATGCAACAGGCAGCTAGCGGGGTGTTTTGGCAGGAATCGGGGGAGTAGGAGGATATGAAAACATGTAGACAAGGGGTGAGTGGAACCTTGAAGGTGATGACAAGAAGTTTAAATGCAGAAGGCTGGGAGGGAACGGTAACGAAGTCTAAGGGGAGAGGTTTTAGGAGGCTAACTGGGTGTTCTCTACTAGCTTTTGAAATAGTTGTGGAGAAATTTTTCTGTAGGTCAAATGTGTAAACTAGGAGTCCTTCCAGAGGTGGAATGGAATTCCTCTAAGACTTATCTAGAAGAGGGATCGGCGAGATTTAAAACTTGCCAAAGGGAGGAAAGATCTGATGTGTTACAAAAATAGCTTGCAAAACAATGAAAATACATGATGTTAAAAAATACATTGTCATAATTGTTAACGTTGTCTTGAACATATTTTCTCTTTAAGGTCTTTGATAGGACATCACAAAAATGAGAAAAAATTAGATTTCATGGACCTAGTGACTCCATGAAGTATCATAAACCAGTTCTCTAAAATGTTAAACATTGTTTGTTAAGTTTTTAATGTGGTGACTTAAAAAGCTTTTCATCATTTACTCAGACTTCTTCATTAACCTTAAACCGATTTATTGAAATTTATTTACCATACATTGGAATACAATTTCCCAAAGTCTTTTGGATATTTAAAACTATAAATTCACAAAATGTAAATTGTGCATGAATTCAATAAAAACAGAAATTCAACTGCTTGGGTTATCAGGGAATGGCAGGTCTGAGAGCCAGGTAATGCCTTCTGGCCTAGCCTAGAAGGTGAAGAATTTTGGGATTTTTTTTTTTTTTTTTTTTTTTTTGTGGTGAGGGAGGTTATAAATGAATTTTGTTGAAAACAATTTTCTACTGGTTTCCTTAAGTTCCAATTTGGGGACCATTTGAANAAACTATAAATTCACAAAATGTAAATTGTGCATGAATTCAATAAAAACAGAAATTCAACTGCTTGGGTTATCAGGGAATGGCAGGTCTGAGAGCCTGGTAATGCCTTCTGACGTTGAAGAATTTTGGGATTTTTTTTTTTTTTTTTTTTTTTTTTTTTTTTTTTGGTGGTGAGGGAATTGAGAAATGAATTTTGTTGAAAACAATTTTCTACTGGTTTCCTTAAGTTCCAATTTGGGGACCATTTGAAAGAGTCCAGTGATCTTGATTCTAGTGCTGAGTTTCTGTTGTGAGAGGCTATCTCTAAGGCATTTGCATAGTTTGATTTACTGCACATAGTTAACACTTTAATCCTTGCAAATAAATGTGATGGTCATAAAGAATAGGTGCTAGGTGTTCCACATACAGACATTTTCTTAAGTAGCAGAGTGGCTGACTCTTTTTGTCAGCCACTGGAAAAGAATGGGTATGTAAACAGATGACTTTCCGAACTGGGAAGAAAGTCATAATTGCTCACATATTTTTCTCTGAAGATCCTTCAAAAAAGATTTCCAGGCTGCAGATGTAGCTCAGTGGTAGAGCATGTGCTTAGCATGTATGAGGCCCTGGGTTTAATTCCCAGCACCAATAAAACAAAACAAAACAAAAAATCTTTTCATTCTATTTGTAACTCTTTTTTACTTACTATCAAATAAAGAACATCATTTTTATCATTTAATATAGGTCTTCATAAAAATCCAGACTAGGTCAAGGTCCATCTTTATGGGGTTTTGGCATATTTCATTTAAACTATTGCTCCCTGTGACAAATATGGTGTTGCATGCCTGTAGTCTTAGCTACTCCGGAGGCTGAAATGGGAGGATCACTTGAGCCTGGAAATTCAAGTCCAGTCCTGTCTGGGCAACATAGTGAGACTACATCTTAGGGGAAAAAAAAAAAGTTTCTCAAATTGCTGAAGCATAGGATTAGTAAATATTTCAGTTTTTTGCAATTTCAAGATTATGGAGTTTTAAAACTCAGTCTGCAGAAGATATGAAGTTACAGCTAATCTAGTTGATGAGTGCCATGAGTTTTTTTTTTTAACAATAGTTTTAAGTTTTTATTTAAATAATGTGAATGAATGGTTTATAATCAATACCAGTTGGGTTTGTTGTTTTTCAGAGTCAGATTTATTTAGGAGAGCAGTTAAACATTCAAGGGAGATTGTAGGCTGTCTCAGGGAAGAGACTTTTGTTGGGGGTAAAGTAAAAAAATATATATTCAAGGGACAGTGTTGCCATTGAGGGACATTGAAGAGGGAGGGAGAAGCTTTGGGGAAAACCAAGGAATACACATTCAAGGGAGAATGCAGTCCATTTCCAGTAAGAGAAGCAGCCAATACCAAGACATTTTGATGACGGAAATATTTTTCCTCTTCCTATCTCATTTCACTCACTAAAATATTCCAGAATATTTATATTCCCAGAGATGAGTCTTTATTGTTTTAGTATTTCACACCCTGCTAGAACTCACTATACCTTGTTTTCACTATGCATATTTTAGAGTATGTGGGCACCTTTTGAACTGATTACAGGCCTCATATTCATCTTCATTAGTTAAAAGTGTAAAAGTGAAGCAGTAGGTTCTCAATTCATGGCTTATTCAAAAGAAGTTTTGCTTTCTAAAAGGATCTTTAAATCTTAAATATACTCTTCATACKCGTTTGTTGTGAGGAGTGATTAGAGTTATGCCCTCTTTTAGGTAAGTTTATGATAACAGCTTTTATATTAGAGTAAGGGAGAAAATTAAGTGTTTTCAATCCAGCAATTCCAGTGGAATCCTTATTCTAAAAGCTGAAGGTAGCTAGAGGATAGTATCATCTGCAGTACTGGTTGCTAAGAAGGCCTTTCCAGCAGTTCCTTGATGCTTTAGGCAGTGGAGTAAGACATTCCTGAGAAGAAAGAAGCATTAGGTAATTCAGTTATTGCTAATAATAGCAAAATAGTATGTCTAGATTGTCCCTGTAAGACTTTGCATATTATTCAGGCCTTTTTAGTGTCATTGATCAGATTCAGGAGATTCAAGCTCTAACTTAGCTGTTTGTCTTCACAGGGTAGAGTATATCATATGGGTTGGAGACAAATCCTCTGATTTATCTAAATAAATTTAGATAATTTATTAAATAAATTTATTTAAAGGATAACCAATAACATATTTACATATATTTTGATGAGGTAAAGTTCCTTAAGTAATTTAATAGTCTTAAGGGAATATAAGCACACTTACGAATGATTGGTAAAAGTTCTTGCAAAAAAAAAGTCATGTGTGAACTAATATAATACTTTCTGGGGGTTTTCTTGACAATTCTAAGATTGTGAAGTTCACTGGGCTGTTATTTAACCTTAGAGAGTTTTTTTTTTTTTTTTTTTTTTTAAGAAACCCTTTGGCTGTGGACGGTGGCACATGCCTGTAATCCCAGTGGCTAAGGAAGCTGAGGCAGGAGGATCACAGGTTCAAAGCCAACCCCAGCAACAGCAAGGCGCTAAGCAACTCAGTGAGAACCTGTCTCTAAAGAAAATACAAAATAGGGCTGGGGATATGGCTCAGTGGTTGAGTGCCTTGAGTTCAATTCCTGGTAGTAGCCTCCCCTGTCCCTCCACCCCGCATGGTGTGGGGTGGGGCGGGGCGGTGGAAGAAAGAAAGAAACCTTTTGGTGGTTGTGGAATAGTATCTGCTTGGCCTTTCTCCCCACTTAATGTAGAAAGCAGAGCTTTTTTATGTAAATATTACTCTCTCAGTAGAGTACTTGATAGACCATTTAATGTTTCTCAAAGATTAAAAAGTAAAGAATATTCAAAATTAACCAGTAGTTAACCATTTAGTGATTAACATTATTGAATGGTACAAATATGATGGCCCTTGTGTGTATGAAATAAACACTTGAAAGCCYATTGTTAATTCTGAAATGTTCAGCTTTGAGAAAATACACTTGATGGCAAAAGAGAGGCTTATTTCCAACTTGTAGCAGGGATTTATCCTACTTCTGTAAAGTTAAATCCATAATATTCTTCAAGATCCGCAAAATGATGAGTTTGCCCATATTATCCTAAATGTAAACAATGGGGTCATTCTCATGCTTGCTTTTCTTTCTTTCCATGTGGGAATGCCTGTTAGCTTTTCCTTCCACTTTCTTTTAGAAATTTAATTTTAATTTGATTTTAACTCTCAATAATTTAATATCGGTGAAACTAGCATTTGCTTTGTTTGTAGGTATTGCTTTCTGTTTTTCAATGAAGCATAGTAGTGAAAATATTTTATTTACTCCCTTTCACTTTGTAGCTTATACAAAGAAAAGATTGTAGGGTTCCCTACAAAAATGGATAATGTTTTTCAGTTTGTTCAGCATCCTACCAGAGTTAATTGAGCTCAAGTACAGATTGGGTATAAATTCCTGTGATGTCAACTCAGTGTCTGCATATAACACTGTGATACTCTGTTAAGGTACTATAATAAGCTCAGTGGAGGAGAAGAAATATGGAATAAATGACAATATTTAGAAGGTGAAGAGGTTCTGCTAAGGAGAGAGTAGTGTCATTAATTCTTTCAAGGAAGCAAGGAAGTAGATAGAGATGGGTGAGTGCGATGTCTGAATAGAGTTAAAAGAATAACTTGTCACATGAACAGGTGGAAGGATTATGTTTCAGTCAATCACAACATTGTGGAATAGTGTATTTGGGGAGCTGTAAATAGTTGGATATGACTGAAAACAGAGTGAAGGGCAGTAGGAAATGAAACAAGAGAAGTGTGTTGGTTTACTTATCAGTGGAAATTTCTTTTTGATTAAAGAGAGAAATGGTCCATCATAAAAATAGAACAGGCAAATGTTGATTTATACATTTGTTATATTGGCTCTAGCAGTTGTTTTTGTTTTGAGATAGCTTGACTTCACAATACATATGTGAATTTCACATTCCTACGTTATCAAATGCAACATTAATTTTTTGGAACATGTCAGAAATGGAGAGACTATTTGTGCAATATTGTGCCAATACTGTACTTACTTATTTGGAATATGAAGCAGAGGGTTAGGACCCTAGATAAACTTTAAAATATTCATAAGTAGACATGTTCAGGCAGGCACAGTTACACATACCTGTAATCCCAGCTACTAGGGAGCCTGAGGTAGGAGGATCACTAGTTTGAAGCCAGCCTGGGCAGTTTAGTGAGACTTTGTCTCAAATAAAAAGTAAAAAGGGCTGGGGCTGTAACTCACTGGTAGGTCATCCATGGGTTCAACCCTAGTTCTGGGGATGTGGGAGACATGTACAAAAATGTTTATTGTAGTCTTTTTTTCCATCATGAAACTTTGGGGAAAACATTGAATACTGTCAGTATTACAGTGGTTAAATTGCAGTGTATTCATATAATGGAATATTATTTTAACAACTGAACTGGGTATATTAACAGATATATCTCTAAGTCAGTATTGAACCATATAAAATTGCAGGATGATGCTGGGGTTATGGTTCAGTGGTAGAGTGCTTGCCTAGCTTCTGTGAGGCACTGGGGGGTTCGGTCCCCAGCACCACATAAAAATAAATAAATAAGTAAACAAATAAAATAAAATTATTGTGTACATCTGTAACTAAAAATATTTTTAAAAAACTGCAGGGTGAAATATAAGTATGTTAAGATACAGATAAAGTTTTAAATCAGGTTAAGACAGTACTATAAATATTTATTAATATTCATGTATGACAAAAATGTATGAAATGATAAAAAATAAAGAAAAAGAGAGAGAGAGAGAGAGAGAGAGAGAGAGAGAGAGAGAGAGATAGGGGATTGTAGTGGGGTTCTGTAACTTCAACTATATGTATAGGAATGAATTGTATATATTTGTTTTAGAACAATGATTTGAACTAAATATGGCTAAATGTAAAAAAAAAAATGCAAGTTGGGTAATAGGTACATAAGTACTTTGATTTTTTGTTTGTTTGTTTGTTTGGACACTTTACTGAAAAATAGAAGCAGGCCAGAGATCATCATAGATGGAAGCATGAACAGCTGGTGGAAAAGAAAGTTATTGTCCAGGTTAAGAATGGGCATGGCAGAGGTGGACGCTCCATAGGAGAAAGGGGATAGTGGAGCAGAACTGGTGAATATAAAATAGATGGGGTGAGGACTGAGCATGTCTAATTCAGTAAATGTTCTAGCTAATAATTTATTTTTCTTAATTTTTTTAGAGAAATATGAAACGAAATGGGAGCAGAAATTGTTTAAATAGGAGAAGTAGGTTTGGTTCTCSAGAAAGAGACTGGCTGCGAGAAGATGTGAAGAGAGGCTGTGTTTACCTTTATGGAGCTGACACGACCACTGCCATTTCAACTACCACTTCCTCTACTGCTTCCTCCTCTTCCTCTGACTTACATCTTGTCCTTTGCACAGTAGAGACACCAGCCTCAGAAATTTGTGCTGGAGAGGGAAGAGAAAGTCTTTATTTACAGCTTCATGGAGACCTGGTTAGGTGAGATCTGAATTTATCTACTGCAATATAAGTTGTATGTGTTTCTGCTTAGAAGTGGACTTTAGGAATTTAATCATGCTGGAACTTATATTGATTATGGAGTCAGTAGACTTGAAAAGATTTGTCCCTAGAATGCTGACTTTATGATTCTTGAATTTAGAAACTATCATGAAAGGAAACTGAGTTCTTTTATTTGGAATACACTAAAGGTCTTATATCTAAATTTAAGATAAGTTTTTAAAAAGTTAATTATTTTGAGACAGGCACTGTAGAGCATGCCTATAATCCCAGAGACTTGGGAGGCTGAGGCAAGAAGATCACAAGTTTGAGGACAGCCTAAGCAACTTAGCCCCTATCTCAAAATGAAAAGGTCTGGGAGTATCTCACTGGTAGAGCACCTCTGTTTAGTGCCCAGTACAGCAACAGAACAAAACAAAAGTTAATTATTTTAGAAATTATAAATAGAATGAAATTGAAATGTATAAAATGGTATAGAGTGAGAAGTAAGTCCTCCATTGTTCCCTGTGCCTCAGCTACCCAGACTTTTTCATGAAGGTGGCTGTTGTTACACATTTCTTATGCATTGTAAGGATATTCTGTGCTACTGTAAGCATATAGGACCTGGTCTCAAAATAAAAAAGAGCTGGGGATATGTGCTATAGTGCTTAGCATGCTCAAGACCCTGGGTTCAATCCCTAGTAATACACACAGAAGTTAATAAGCATATACATAGAGTCATGCATGAGTGTGTGTGTTCCTATGTATATATATTTAAAACTAATGATGCTGTATGCAGCACATTGTTGACTTAATACCACCAAGAGATCTTTCCCTATTAATATTTATACAGTTATCATTTATTTAGTGGCTGTAATAGTGTTCCATTTTATGAGTCCACCATAATTTTAGCCAATCAACTATTATGGCCATTCAACTTGTTACCAATTTTTTATGCTTACAAACAGTGCTGCAGTGAATGTCCCTGTATCTTTGATGTCCCTTATATGTGGATGTCTCTCTGTAGGATAATTTCCTAAAAGTGGAATTGTTGGATCAGTGATATGACAATTTATAATTTTGATAGGTATTCTCAATTTCTTTTTCATGGATGTTATATTTCCATGGATGTTATATATCCATCCAAATATAGAAGTACACCCATTTTCCCTTTCTCCAGAATATGTTAGTATTAAATTTTATATGTAGATACAGATATATGCATGAGGACATATCTGCTTATACATAGAAATGATTGTTGGGCCTCAAGCATTCGAGGCAAGCACTTTACCACAAATTATAACCCAAACCCCTTGACTGTGTTTAAATTAGAGAATCATAAAGTTAGCATTCCAAAGTCAATTCTTTCAAGGCTAGCTTAAGGCTAGCAAAACTGAGGAATTTTGGTATTTCATTGTTTCATGTTTCATTTCTCTTAATAAATGAAGTTGATCGGATTTCCACAGATTTAAAAGCCATTCATACGTTAAATGTTTTATATAAACATGAAGAAAAAGTCTTATAGTCTTATATTGTGCATATGAATTCTTTGAGTTTTTTTTTTCTTTCCAAATCACCATTAATTCTTAGAATTAGACAAAATCAAATAAGAGTTCTTTAAATGCCTGACCATAGGTGTTTGGTGTTCCTCCTTCCCTGTAATAAAGAAATGTCTTGAATTCAAAGCTGTGGGTGGATTCATTACTATTGAAAGCGAGAAGGGAAGCTCCCACTTACACCTTGAAAGTGGTAATAATAGTAGCACCTCTAACTGAGCTAAAATTGATGTCGTTGTAAAGGTGTAAACTGGAGTTTACTGTGTATTCCTTTTAGAATTTGGACTAATTCTTGAAAAAGTAGATTAGCATTTGAATGTTTTCCTTGTTCACAGTTAACTACATTTCCTAAATCCATTTGTACAACAAAAGGATCAGAYTAAGGGTGATCCTTAGGCTTTTCTAAATCTTAACACTGATTCTGATCTAATTTTATCAGGTGGAAAGCCTTGACCTAGATAATAGCTGCTAGTGATTGATTGAGTTCACTTATTTAAGCATGTGACTTACTCATGTGTTTTCTAATGTATATGTATGCAAAGATGTTAGGAATGTGGAAAACCCCAGTGTTGGTTTGCTAGATGTAATATTAGGTAGTAGTTGTGTAATTAAGAATTCAAATGTGGTATAGTTTACTTATGTAAATCTAAATTAAAAAGTAGAATGTTTAACTTTTCTTATCTGTACCCGAGGTAGAATGTTTAACTGTTTTTATCAGTTTATAATAACCCTTTGAAGATATAATTCATTAGAAAATAATGAAAACACAATTGAACAGTGGTTTGAAAGAATGGGTATTCTTTTGTTGCTGGAGTAGGAGTTTAAGATCTTATCCAAGTAAGAATAATGGTGATGATTATGATGATGATAGATCTTAGCTGACTTTAAGCGCTTGCTTGTGCCAGTCAGTGTACAAAGTGCTTTATACACATTTTTCATTAAATCCTTATAATAGGGGCTGGGGTTGTGGTTCAGTGGCAGAGTGCTTGCCTCGCACATGTGGGGCACTGGGTTTGATCCTCAGCACCACATAAAAAAACAAACAAAGATATTGTGTCCATGTATAACTAAAAAAAAAATTAAAATAAAAAAAATCTTTTTTTTTTAAAGAGAGAGTGAGAGAGGAGAGAGAGAGAGAGAGAGAGAGAGAATTTTTAATATTTTTTATTTTTTAGTTCTCGGCGGACACAACATCTTTGTTGGTATGTGGTGCTGAGGATCGAACCCGGGCCGCACGCATGCCAGGCGAGTGCGCTACCGCTTGAGCCACATCCCCAGCCCAAAATAAAAAATATCTTTATAATAATTCCAAGGGAGGTAGTCTCATCCCTTTTAGGTGAGGAAGAGACTATGAGAGAAGTCCAGTTACCTGCTCAAGGTCAGGAAGGCATGACCAGGCAGTTGAAATACCTAATATTCAAGGTAGATGATAGACTTCCTTTTTTCCAATGAAGATCCTGCAGGAGAGGAGAAGCTGCCACAGCAGCTCCTTTTACTCAGGTTTACAGCTTAATCATGCCTATTTCAAGATCATCTGATCTCTTACTCAGCTGTTAATTGCTTGAGTTCAACCTTATATTATCTAATCTAAGGAGAAGGTACTTTCTTTGGAATAGCCCTTTATAAGATAGATGACAATCTAAGGGATTATTATAATTAAGAATCTTTTTTGATGAATTCAGAAATGTAGTATGTGTTCATTGACTATATATGCTTTATATATATTACCTGTTTAAATCTCAACAATCATATGAGTTAAATATTATGTCCCTCTTATCACTGAGGAAAATGAGGCTTAAGCCTTGCACTGAAGAATAATCAGCTGGGAAATGGTAGAGCTGGGATTTGAACCCTAGCATTCTGATGTCAGATCTCATTCTCATAACTTATATTGGTAACATTTTTTCCTAGATCTTTTTTTTTTTGACCATGCATTCACTTTGTCCCTACCTTTTTCTCCCTCCCTCCTTCTCTCTCTCTCTCTTTTGTGGCATAAAGATTGAACCCAGGGGTGCTCAACTACTTAGCTACATCCCCAGCCCTTTTTTTTTTTTTTAAAGCATTCATTTTTTTTTTAACCTTTATTTCTATTTATTTATTTTTTTATGTGTTGCTAAGTGTCGAACCCAGCTCCTCACATGTGCTAGGCAAGCGCTTTTCCACTGAGCCACAACCCCAGCACTCCCAGCCCTTTTTTTTTTAAACTGTAATTTTTTTATTCATTTCTTTTTAATTTTTTCTAATTAATCCCAGCCCTTTTTGTTTTTATTTTGAAACAGGGTCTTGCTAAGTTGCTGAGGCTGGCCTCAAACTTGTGATCCTTCTGCCTCGGCCTCCCAAGTAGACATATACTTCTTAATAATTTTCTAATAATTACATATTTGGGCTTATACCATATATTTAATTTTATATTCTCATACTTCACTTAATCATCTTAAATTCAATGTTATTAAAAATTCTTCAGATACTAGTTTTAACAGCTATAGAATATCCCATTTTATGGCTATACTGTAAATTATTTAAAATTGAGAGATAATATGCAATAATGCTATAGAGGTTAGATTCTAGAATGAGAGTGTATGGGTTCAAATTCTGGCTCTGACATTGCTATATAAATATATAATGATCAGTGCCTTGGTTTACTTTTTTGTAAGCTGGAAGATAATAATATTTACATTGTGTGAGTTGTTATGAGGATTAAATTATGTGTTATACAGATTAAATGAATTAATACATACCTGTAAAGTACTGCTTAAATTGTTCATTTAGGAAGCTTGTGAAAATAGATTTTGATTCAGTAGGTGTGGGAGAGGGCCTGAGATTGTATATTTCTGTTAAGTTCCCAAGTGTGATGTATTATACTTTGATTAGTAAGGGAGTACATGATGCCTGGCCCCTACCTTTTTCTATGGATTACACCCAGGGCCTTTCACATGCTTTGCATGTGTTCTACCACTGAGCTACACCCCAGCCCCAAGTACTCAATAAATATTTCCTATTAGGGTTGTTTCAAATAATTGAACTCTTTAGTAGTGTTGTGTAGATTAAACCAGTGCCTATAAATCTTTACATTTCTGATTTTTCCAGGTGGGGCCTAGAAATGGATTATAGGGACTAAAATCTTTGGTTTCTCTAAATCATTCTTTATTTCCTCAACTTTTTTTACATTCATGTACTTGTCACTTAAGTATGAGTGAAAGTTTCTGACTTAATAGAAGTTTAGCACTTAAAGGTGCTAAACTTTAAGCACTAGAGTGATACCTGTTAGTGAAAGTAAGTCTGCCCATTACTAACAAACCACAGTGTGCCCCCCCACCCCATTTACGTGGCGGTGGACAGGTTTTTTTTTTTTTTTTTTTTTTTAAGAGAGAGCGAGAGAGGAGAGAGAGAGAGAATTTTTATTATTTATTTTTTAGTTCTCGGCGGACACAACATTTTTGTTGGTAT